CGCGCGACCGCTGGTGCAAACGACTCTGCAATTTAGGAGCCCTGTAAGAAGAAAGGCAATAATTGAACAGTGTGTACTTTTGGGACACCCTGCAGTTTGCTTATCCCCTCCCGACCTAGGTCTCCCCCAAGTATTTAAGCCAACGACAAAAAGGCTGACCGATATTCCCCTCTCCAACACGCTAGTAAAATTTTTGGCTATATTGCTTTACTAGTGAACTGCGTTCAGCAAAATGTGGTCATAGAACTTTTATTCACTTTACAATGAGCATTTGCAACAAATTGCGATACCTTTAGGCTTTACCAGCAGCAGCCTACTGTCAGAATCAAACTTCCCGATTTCTTTGGAGGGATCGACATTGTGCATTGGCAAAAAGAAGGATTTAATATTACTTTCAGCCAAACTAGGCTCTGTCACTCTTCAAATTTTGCAACTATTTAGTAGGTTTCACCGCTTGCAGCTATCCTATCTATTGCCTGCGCCAGAAGCTCGAGAGTTCAGTTTTGCAGCAGTGTAATTCTTAATCTTCGAACAGTTTTGATTTGAGAAGTGTACCACGGAATGCTGCAAACGTACCTTGAATGCATCCTTGCATGCCTGATAGCCAAGAGCCATGATTGCTTATGGCTTATAGTAAACCACTGTCACAACTCTGCTGAGATACGGCTATTACATATACATGCGACGCCTCAGTGCAGGATAGTTATGCTATCAATTGAGCGGACTAGCCTTTAAAAAGAATGCCTTCGCGTTCTCAAAAAAGTAAAGATTTTTTCCGGTTTAGTCGAATGGCTGAAGCATTGCTTTCCAAACCAAAAAGCCGTGCCCTGCTACCTCGAAGGGCGATTTGATAGCGGCCATCATCGCTTTTTTGTTATCGGCCGCTACAGCGATGGCCGCTAATGAAGATTTTGCCCAGTAAACGGGAAATGAAGCAATTCTACAATTTCTTGACATATATAACCATGTAAATCTATATTTATTGTTAAACATCCAAAAAGAAAAGTATCTTCTCCTATAGTAAGCAGTCCCTAAAAATTTGAGCACACTCTACCAAAAAAAACATTTCTTATTTTTGTAGATTTACCATATACCTTTTCATCCATCCTCTCCTGCTTGGGCCACGGTATTGTGCCATTTTACTCGTTTTTGTGGTAGGTCGTTTAACTTGTTTCGTAGGTTAATTGCGAGCAACTTAATATATTTTTATCTGATTTTCCGCTTCTGCACCAAATTTCGTCAAGTTGAGACCGAAACTCAGGCTCAGGACGTTGAACTGACAGCGGTACTTAATCGGACGGCATTCCTATACTTTACTTGCCGTCTCAAAGTATGCGAAGGCGGTCGTAAGTGAAGCTTGCGAAATTCCTGAGAGTGTCAGCTAAATTTAGATGAGCTGACTGGGGTTTACTGCAGAACTATAAGTAATTAGATGGCGGCACTTCCGGGATTCAGAAATTCAACTTTTGGCTTTTACATCTCACTACGTAGCTAAGACAAAGCTGGAACATCCCAAAACATCCATGCATTTAGAAAATATGTTGCATCTTGCCGAATGCTACTTTTTTACAATCGGTGGAAAAAGTAAAAAGAAAAGTCTCCATTTTTTCCGCAATCTTCCAGGAGTTTTGTAAACATGTCTGCACAAAAGCTCCAATGATTTTGGTAAATTTGGCAGACATTTCCATGTAATATCCAGAAAGTTGCACTATGCTTCCCGTTTTCTAACAAGGAAACGATACTTGGTTGTCCGTGGCCTTTTGAGATGAAATGTATACCACCACATTCGTCTTGGGACGCTGATTCCGAATCTGACTTCCGTTTCTGCTAATCGTTTCTCTAGAAGAAGTTATGAAGAATTTTTGCGTCAATGGTCGCCTAAAAGAAATACGGTCGCGGATGCCTAACTTTCAAAAGAAGCTTGATTGAGGCAATGCAAAACTTAGAAACACAAAAGGACTCGAGACTTAACCTGCATTAACTTGCGAGGCTATCGTACTGGCCACGCCACTACACCACATCTCAGCGGCGGTTTTGACATTTCGACTACATCTCCTTTGGCGCGAAAATCCTCCATAACTTTTTTCCGAGAAACGATTAGCAAAAACCGAAGTCAGAATTGGAATCAGCGCTCCAAGACGAGTGTAATGGTATGCATCTCATCTCAAAAGGCCACGGACACCAAGTATCGTTTTCAAAAAAAAACGCTTTCAAAGCCCTGCGTCAACTAAGAAGAGATTTCGAAATTTAAATGCTATGCTGTATTTCTTATTGTTGTGTTACCAAATATTCTTTTTTGTGTCTTCCACTCTGTTTTCCAAGAGGCATCACATGACGCACGATCGCCGGATACGCCGGATACACGACCCACCCCTCCCCATCGCTGAGTGTCCTCAGTAGATTCTCCGCTCTCTCCCCCCCCCCGCCCCCCTTCCAGCCTATCGATATCATGCCGCAGGCATGGTATGAGGCCCTAACAATGATGAGTAACATATTCGTAATCAGCATGTCAAGTAAGCCCTGTGGACCAAGTTTCAGCGAATTTTGAAGTTTACGATATAAGGCCACCTAAGTGAAACGCACTTTTTGGAACATGATTAACTTTGTTTTAAATGTGAATTAACTACTTCTTTACACTATACAAAGCTTTCTCGGTTTTTAGCGATATGAGAAATCCCACTTCAAATAACCGCCAAGTTATAGAATTAGAAGCCATAAAATCTTGTTTCTCCCACATTTCGCTCCTAAAGGTTGTTTCAGCAACTGTTATCCAGGTTAGAGAAAAGAATCAAGCTCGAATTACCGCTGCATATTACTCGCTAAAAGTTCCTTTGGAGTGAGTTATTGGCGTGTGGCACCACCACACAACATTTTCTTTTATAAATTTAAATAAAGAGTGGCTTCCACTTTTTTGGGTTGTGCACATCCCATTAATCTACCTTCAAAGCATTCATGCATCACTTTTATTAGGTTGTCGAGTAAATTTTATCATAATTTTTTGTAAAACTGTAAGAAATTCCAGAGTCTTTATAGAATCTTCTAGTTTGTTTCATGAGTAGGACACGACAGGGCATATACAACAGCATGACTGACGTTGCAAATGCACAATAGCTAACAAGTTCACGACAAATTAAGCACACTCAAAATTTCTTTTCTTTGGTTCTTTTTTCTGCGTCTAATTGTGTTTTTCTCCCCTTCATTTTTTGAAGGATGTTTTCGCACTGCCTCTTTTATGGCAGCCTTGGGTGCCGCTAGCATGTCAAAAATGAGAAGCAAAAAATAAATTCAAAAAATTGAAAATTGGTCGAGGATTTTCCTTTTCGTATATAAGATATTGATACGGAGAAATTGGTAACAATTTTTGTAAGCTTTTTAAAAACTGCTCGTCATGCTGAAACGCGAGTGTGACCAATTTCTCTGTCAATATTTTACATACGAAAAGGAAGATCCTCAACCAATTTTCAATTTTTTAAATTTATTTTTTGCTATGGTGCTATGACCGCTGACACGGTGCACCATGTAGTTCATGTTTGTGCGAATATAATCGTGCCCCCCCCCCTATATTCGATAAAACTATGGACCATGCCCGAAAACCACCTTTCCCTGATCACCTGGAAGAATGCCATACTTGAAATAAGTGTCCTTAAAACGTACTCCCATCAGTAAAGTGGGTGTTTTGCGCACGGACCACGGATCTGACAATATTGGTGGGTAGATCTTTGTACTCCGACAACACACCTTGAACATAAAAATTTCTTTTCTTCCTTTTTTTGGAAGTTTCGTTGATCTCTATATACTATATAAAGCATAAAATTTGTATGTCTGTGCACACTCCCCATAGTCACGAAAGATAAGCGGTGAAGCTTATTTTGATCTGCTGATTATTAAGACATGGTAAGGGTGGTAGAAAGCGAACCCAGGACGAGTCGGAATTAAAAGAAGGATAAGTTTTGCTGCATGAGAGGTTAAGCACGGTAAACTAGCCCCAAACCGGGGTGGAATCCGGGATGCCAGCTCGCTAGGACATAAGAATAAAAATGTGACAAATCCGACAATCTAATAGATCGTTGAAACCGCTAAATCTTCTTCTTTTTACAGTAGAGACTTCATCCAAAATTTTTACTCCTAAAACAATATCGTTTATTCAACCATACGTTTAGGACAAGTATTGAGTTAGGTAATATGGTAAGTGCGCGTTACGACGTAAGGTGCGAGGGCAAAAGGATAAAAATATATACATTCGATAACTCAGGTCCTTTGATCATACTGGGCATAGTTTAGGGTTTAACTAATCTTTCTCGTAAAGAAAGAAAGAGAAAAGAGGTGTGACATATCTTAAGAAAGTTAGGTGTGTTCGAAAATGACCATTTCACTTGGAAACATTGTTTGAAAACCTCAGAATTCTTTAAGACTTGATCCAAAAGGGTTATTTTACATAAAGATTAAGAAAATGGTGTTTTTTATGCATGATAAAGCTCCTATACTATGCTTAGTGCACGTATACGATGATAGGTCGCTACCTTAGTGTGCCTGTATCTTTCGAAATGAGCTTAGCTGCAAAGCTAACGAATATAATATTATCGCTTACACCACTATTACCTCGATTACAATCCGCTTCCCTCTCTGCCCCCCTAATATGACCGCCAGGTGTGACGGCCGCGCCCCAGCTTGACTCTGCTGACACCTATTGCACACATTACAGTGCACACAGTTGTGCAGAGGATTTTGTTTGCCAATATATTGAGGGGAATTTTAACTCGTGTCTCACTTCGAAATATTTTGTCGTACGTACTTGCTTGTCTCTGCGCCAGTTTATTACACGGACAAGCAATGTAGAGTTCGAAAAAAGATAAATTCGACATTAAATTGGTAACAAAAAACATACACCGTGAAGTAAGCAATGATTGAAAAACAAAATTACCTTCGCCATCTTAACCTCGCATCTATTCGAGAAAATTGATCCGCTTTCTGGAATTATAAATGTTACTTTTCAGTACAGCATGCTTTATAAGCTCCTTATTTTGGTTCTGCTGCAAGTTGTTGATACGTTGGCACCCAACAGAGAGGCAGTTATTGCTGAGCTGCTATCTCTCGACATCTATGAGGTCAGAGTTGCTGAGCTGAGAGCTTACAGAGATTATAAGGCGGCGAAAAAAGCTGCTAAGCAAAATAAAACAAAAGCGTGCAAACCTTCTACCAATGGAACATCTACAGTGAAGATAGAATGTCACACGAAAATTCAAATTTCTGCTGTGGCGAAATCCTCCAAAGAACATATTGTTGCTGTGCTGAGAAAACCCCACACCACTGGAGCTAACCGTGTAAGATTATCACGACTAAAAGAGAATAGTAAGAATAGTACCACAAAAGCTGAAAGTGTCGTTAAGGTATGCGTCTCTATCTCATGAATTCGTGCTTTGGCTCTGATTTCATCATCACTTACAGGGCCGCAATCAATACTCCTGCGGAGAATGCAATGAAAAGCATAGATCACATACTCATACAACTCCCAAGGCCAGTGCAGCTCCTGCTGCGATTGAACTGCCGAAGGGCGAGAGAGCTGCTTCTGCTGCTCCTAATATGAAACCTAAGGTCGATGGAAGTCATGCTTTAGAAGCTCGCAATGTCCAAGGAACTCGCTGCGGTTTAACACCAGCATTAGCTAAGGTAGGTGGAGATAACGCAAAAAATACGTGCGTCTCAACTTTCAAATGAATTTGTGCTCTGGCTCTAACACTTCTATCATTTTCAGTGCCGCGGACAGTGCCTGCAAAAGTGCGATAAAAAAACCAGCTATACGATGAATTCAGCCTGGTACCTATGCTACGCTGACTGCTCACGGAAATGCAGAAGCGCCTATGGTGGCTTTATTTATTTTCCCTACATTGATGTTAAAGTTTGTTAAACTTACTATTTGCTGAGTTCAGTTTAGTTACACCCAGATCGAGCGGGCATTGCCTGCCCACTACCAAGGATACGCTCGTGTTTTCAGTGATTACTCAGTGAGCATTATGAGAACCTAAAACTGATTTACGCGATATGCGATTCTCAAATTTTGAATATGCTTTATTGGAAAGCTATATTCTGTGGGGAATATGATTGAACGTCGGCATTCATCTTGGACATCAACGCGGTGGAACGATTGAGAGCGTGAAGTTAGATTATCAAGCGCAAAACATAGTCACGCACAATGATTCAAACATAATTGCAACAACTTTCGGATTCATTTTCATCGAAGTAGATTCAGCAATTTGAAGACAACATGAAGATCAATCAAAAAAAATCTTGAAAAGGTTAACCATCCATAGCCTCTCCTACAACCGCTCAAGCAAGCTGGTGTTATATAACAGTTAACGGAATAACTACTAGCTTCTTATGTAACCTGGCTGATAGCCGACCAGTTTCTGGCTATTCTCGTAACGTATGCTTTCAAGCAAATGCGCGTCCTCACTAATTACAACGTGGCGAGTATCAATGAGTTTTTATTGGGGGGGGGGCGTTAGGTATCCAGCCGAGGTGCGGGCGTTAGGTACCCAGCCATCAGGTGTATACACTAAGCCACGCCCCTTGGTTCTTCAACAGCGGGTACCTAACGTACACTTAATTTTAGCTGCCAGACAGCTCACCTAGCTTGCTATAGCGCTGGCGCTTGCAACCCATAGGAAAGAGTTAGTCTGAGGAAATCAAAAAGAAATTGCGCAAATGAAAGCGCAAGTTTGTATGCAGTTTGAGAATCACAGAAATTCGGTGATAAAATTCAAAAACAGTAAAGCTTTCATGAGCACTTCACATCGTTTTGCAAGAAAAAAATAAAAGGTAAACTTTATATAATACCAGTAAACTAATTTTTTATGATTTTAATGAAGCAAAGCGCACTTTCGGAGTTGCTTTTGGCACTTTGTTGCAAGAACTATCTCTTTGTTTCAAAAAACTGCTTCAAGAATATTTTTGACAATGATAAGTGGAACCGATTGGAAGATGAGCTTCAATGAGAACTTGTCATCCGCAGAATTTATGGAGGTCTATGTGACCCAAAATCTATGGAGGTGCTAGCTCTGTTCCAATCAATGGAAATTTCTATAGAGGGATTTTGGAGCCAATTTTGATGGGGTGTATGCCAATAGAGTGAAGCAGGAAAAGCAACAAACTCTACTGAGAGCATATTTGACAAAATCCTTCACTTCTTAGTGAGTTACAAAAAAATGGATAAGTTGATCATATTTTGGCTGCTATAAAAGAGAGTGAATATGAAACAATTGCAATATTATTGTCGTAAAAAAGCACTGCTCATACACATGATATACACTCGTTCAACGAAATTTCCATATGGGATGTGTAATCTTCCGAATAAAAAAATGTCTTTATCAGTGTAATGTTCCATAAATCTGCTGGCCTTAGCAATGACCAAAGTAATAACCTTGATAATCCTACTATAATAACGCGCTAAGAGTGTTTACGTGTTTTTGTGTGTCTGTCTGTCTGAATGTCTGTCTGTCACGAAATTCGTAGAGCGTGTTCCAGCCAACGCCCTGGGCTCAAAATTTGCACAGCACTTGCTACTGGCATGAAAGTCCAACATGCAAAAGCACAGGCAGATTCGTTGAGTGGGTCTCTTGAAAATTGCGCGTCAAACGGATCCACTTTACATTTGGCCCACAAAATTGGGTCAGTAATTCCATTTTTGCAGAGTGGTGGGTGTTTATGGCAAGTAAATGTGCAAGCCATGACTTAGGCCCAAATAAGTGACCAAAAGTCCATTACTCTACAAAAACAACGCCAAAAACTATTGCTTGCGTAAATGGTCAATTTGCCAAGGTTCTAGAAAAGCATTTGAGAAGTTTTTCGCACAGAAATGGAGATCACGGTGACTATTGCCTTTATGGCGACTATCAAACCATGACAAATTCAAAAACCTATTCAGTTTGCCTTTGTCTTCCTGCGAAAAGTTTCTTCCATGCGAAATCACCGATCTCACGTGAAAAAGCTTTTTCAATGAGTAGTTGTTCACCTTTCATTCGTGGTAGTCGGCATAGCACGGTGAGTTTCAGTGCCACGATTTAACGAGAATGAGTAAGGCACATAACCTAGAGTCATTTGTAACTTAATATGTGAGAATGCACACTAAGCCATATTAACGACGGCACCCATACTGGTAATTTCTCGTGAATCATTTTCTAGCCTAACAAAGTGTAGAAATGTGTTCTATTGAATAATATATAACTAACAAAAACAAAAGAGACAAGGAAACAAGAAGAAATTATTGGAAATGAGCAGGTACTAGTTTTGTCGTTCGTCACTTAACGTGTAAAGTGTGCATCACTCAGATCAAGTTACGAATGACTCGACGATAGATAGTAGAGCAGTGCGAGCCTCTGCGAAGCAGAGGCGACGCCCTGGTCTAAGATAATGTAGTTCACAATCCTTGTGGCAATATTAACGCGCCTATAACTTCGCACCCCAAAACGAGGCCGACAACAATATGTGAAAGGAATATTATACAGGGTGTCCCAAAAGTATGTATGCACTGTTTGATCATTAATATCTCTCTTCCCAAGAAGTCTTTCGCCTTGCTTTGGGTACCATTTTGTAGAGCTGGCTTTAGGTTTTCAGTATAGAACGAATCACCCATCTCTCTTCGCCACTGTAGGATTACGGTAGAAACGTTTTGAGCTATGAAAGGCCATATTTTGCCTCAGAAAGGAAACAAAACAGCCTCAAAGCTTTTACACTAGGCTAATTAGAGTAGCTAATTTTAACTGTAAAGTTCTTCACTTATTATGATGCTTCATTGAAGAGTTATGCCAGGTAAGAGGTAGCGGCCACATTTTCAATGATACTAATAAGTGCGGTTACACCGTTTAGAAAACTTCGCAATCTTATGAATAGTTGAGTATTGAACTCAGCGTCCATAAAAACCCTATTGCACAAGTTTTCACATTTTTTTTGAAAAATTTTGAAATGGCAGCTTTTTCCACCTTGACACCATATGTTTCAAGTTCCTACCGTAATCCCACAGTAATGCAGAGCGGGTCGGTGGTTCTCTCCATACTGTAACTCTAAGTTGAAGCCAGCCCTACAAAAGGGTACCTGAAGCAAGGCGAAAGACTTCTTGGGAAGAGAGATATTAACGATCAAGCAGTGCATGCATACTTTTGAGACACCCTGTATATATTTCGTGCAACTTATTTGCAACATCTCCGAAAGTGCTCTTCGCTTCATTAAAACCATAAAATTTTGGTTCTTTGGAATTCTAAAAAATTTACTTCCTTGAAATTTTTTATGACATTACTTAGATTAGATTATCACAATTCTTTCTTGGAAAACTATGTGAATTGCTCACATAAGCTTTACCTCAACGGAGAATTACTGTGATTCTAAGCTTGATTCAAAAAAAGCAGCAGAAGAACGTTGCGTACAAACTTGTGCTTTCATTCCCGCGATTTCTTTTTTTGACTTCCTCGAACTATCTCTTTGGATTGCAGGCGCCAGCGCTTTAGCGAGCTAGGTGAGCTGTTCTAAAAGCTAGGATTCCTTGCATCGTTAGGTACCCGCTGTTGAAGAACCAAGGGGCGTGGCTATTGTATACACCTAATGGCTGGGTACCTAACGCCCGCACCTCGGCTGGGTACCTAACGCCACGCACCCGTTTTATTGCTTGTTTTAATTTGCGACTTTATCAGCTCAAATCAATTTTTGCAGCGTTACCATTCTGGTTACCTGTTTACTACCCCATTATAGCTAACAGAGTGGCTGCTTTTACGCAGTGCTTGGATAACATACAAAGCTTTGAGCATTACATTTTTGCACAACACTATAGGGTTGTTTCAAACTGCGCACTGACCGCATTGACCGCACTGCTCAGACAATCGCAAATGAATTCCGGGAAAAACTGAACTTACATAACATCCGGGGAGACACTTCCATTGCAGCTGCCAGGTAGGGCGGAGCCCATCCTTACAGCAAGGCCCAATAGGAGCGTCCGCCCAGAAGTTTTAGAAGTTCGGTTTTCCCCAGAACTTATTTGCGATTGTCTTAGTGACTGCAGCTGACTGCAGCTGACTGCACTGACGGCCGCTGCATAATCCCATAATAGAAAAAACAACCGCGATCATGTCAAAACACCGTGATTATGCACAGAAAAATTTGTAGTTCTGATTTCACTTTTTTCAACCAATGGCGTTTGCTCTTCTTCAATATGTTCATATTTGTTATGAGTCCTTCTACTGCGTATACCTGTTTTGTATTGTTCTCACCTGTGCTGTTTTGTGGTTCGAGGCATATATTTTTGTTGTTTTTGAGCTACAGCTAATTGTCTTCTAAACCTCTAAGCTTTAACATGGATTGCAAGATTGATCGTGACCGATTTGTCGATCTTGCAATCCATGTCAAATCCTAAAATTGTACTTAATTAGAATTAGATGACCCGTCTTCACGTGGCGTGCGGGCCTCAGCACAAAAGTTTCCATTTATCCTGTCCCTCGCTTTGGACATCCACGATTTTCTTGGTGACGTCGGTGGCCGCATCTGCGAGATTCAGGCGCGAAAGTCGTATCCAGCTTATTTCTCAGCTGGTCCATCCGTTCCACGAAGAGCCTGCCCATTTCATTGGAGGTCTTCCTCGGGGACGTATGGCTTCGCGAGGAATCCACTCAGATGTTCTTAGTGTCCATCTATCGTCCGTTCTTCTCATTATGTGACCGGCCCATCGGTGTTTCGCTTTCGCAACGTATTCCGCTGGGTCACGAAGACGGGACATTCTTCTCATATCCGTGCTGCGAAGTCCGACGAGATGTTGTTTGTGTCGGGTCATCTTCAGAAGACTACGCTTTAGCGCTCTGTGGGTGGTCCTTAAAGCTTTCGAAGTGGCGACGGTGTCAGCCCAAGTCTCAGCTGCGTAACAGAGCGCTGGGAGAACGGTTGA